AGCTCAGTGGTGCCATCACCTTCCGGGCAAACACAAGGTCCTGAGTTTGATCCTGGTACTGGAAAAAAAAGAGTATTTCTTCCATGTTTACTATAGAAATATGAGAAGTCTCTACCCTTTACTTCTTGTGAGGCTGAGCTACATTCTCTCTTCAAACCACAAAGCCAATGAACTTCCCATGAATACATCATTAACCTCATGTCATCATAAGAACTAAAAGACCAGCCCCCTGGATTCCAATCCCCGTTCAATTTCAGAATAAAGGGGGACTTTAAAAAATGATGCCAAACCCAGGTCAGAGACTCTCATTCATTGATGTGAGGCCAGGCCCGGGCATCATGATTTTTTTTTAAAGCTTCTCAGTAATTAGAATAAATGGCTACTGTAACTATAATTAATTTTTCTCCTTCTGTATTTCACTGGTGGTGTATATCATTTAAATAAGTTACAATGTTTTGGGCTTTCCACACCAATATTTGAGATACATTGAAATTTTATTGTTTCCTGCACTTCCACCTCAGTACTTTAAAAAATATATCAAATCCAGCTTGTTTCCTCCTTTTTTATTGCTCCTGCCTTCTGGGTAAATCTTTCCCCTTTTCTTCCATGAAATGTTGGCCAGAGCAGTTTCCTTGTACCTTTCCATGTCAGCCAGGCTGAGATTTTTGGCAAAAAGCCCTGCAGAGGCTGCAGGGCCCTAAAGCAAGCCCTGGCTAAAAGCACCGATGGCCTAGGTACTGCACAGGATTTCTATAGTCAAACCATAAAAATTCCAACAAAGTAGATCAAGATGGGCAAGATACAGCCTGGCTTTCTGTAGTTTTTTAGCATTCTAAGCGGAGAGTAGGAACAAAGTTCATGGACTATAAAGATACCTCTTGCATGATTCCTCCCCACTGCCCTTCACCAGCACACCCTCTTCCAAGGAAGATGAAAAAGGGAAAGAGAGGTTGTAGAGAGCCCCAACTTTGTACATAGGCAAATCTTTTTGGACTTTATAAATGTTACTGGTATTACTCTGTAGTAAAAGACATTATGTGGAAGCTTTAAACTGTGCATGTAGAACCTTCTAAATAAACATGAAAACACTCAAAACTCAAAAACAGTGGCTCAAGGTAACCTCTTAGCTGGAAAGATGCTCAAGCCTCTGTTTATTTCCAAGCTAATGATCAGCACTTGAGCTGCAATGCTAAAGATTTGTTGGGGTGCAAAGTTCAAGCCATCAGTAACCTGAAAATTAAAGCCTCCTGACATCGCTCCTTCAAAAGAAGAAATTACACTCTGGTTAATTTGGTTACTCTGCAGAAACCATGCACCTTCACCACGCTTCCCCCAACAGGACCCCTGTAAAACAACCCCTTTGCTAATACACTAGCTCGCTGGATCAAATACGGTCATGTGCCACATAACATTTCTGTCAACAATAGACCACATATAGGACTCCACCCTACGAGATTATGTGAATCATCAAAAGACATCAAAGCCAGTCTAATTTGTATAAATATACTCTACGATGTTTGCACAATGATGAAATTGCTTGATTCTCATTTCTCAAAGCAACTCTAACATTAAGTGATGAATGACTGTATTGCCAAGGACACAAAGTGAAACATATTAATGAAGTACTCAAATGCAGCTTGCCTGATCTCACAACAATAAAATGTAACGATTTTATCTCAAAGAAATTTAGAAAATTTTGAACATATCCTTCACCCTATTATATGATTTCATAATCAATTTATGCTAGTAAAATAGTGCATGACTGCAACACACAAAATAAACATACACATACACACATAATTTTTGAAATCTTAGTAATACTGAAAATCAAAACTAAGAGGATATAAGTAATACAACCCTCAGCAAAGAGTTACATCTTCAATTATGGATCTATCTTGAGCTAACTATTTTGCTAAGAGGGGAAAGGAAAGGCAATGAAAGTCTTGGTTTCATTAAACTTTTGCAAGGAGGGAATTCCACTCTCACACTTCTGTCAAGAGATTGGAGATATCAGTAAAGTTAACAATTAACTTATGTGCATAACTGAAATTGAGGTGGACCTTTATTGATTCAGTTCCCGGGAGTGCTTTACCAATCTGACTCAAAGCACTAGGCAAGACCACAATGCAGACAGCTCAAGATTCATACCTCCATCACTCTTTGAAAACATTCATCCAGTACTAAATTGAGAGCCCCACAGGCCTTTCCCTTGTACTGGGCAGAAATGTATCTTTGCTGTCCTCAGGATCATGTTACAAGGAATAAAATAGCCATGGCCAGAATTCCATAATTACTAAAAGTACACCCTCAGTAACACTATTTAATAAGAGGTAGATCAATGGGTTGGCAGTATTTTGTTTCTGTTATCTAAGTAAACCCAGAGAGTTCTGATTTCTCACCAATAAGGCTGTTAAAATTTTCCCAAAATGTGTGTGGGGGCAGGTGCTGAGTCTAATTCAGAAGAGGTGTCCACAACCAAATGTTGTTTTGCATTATTTGGTCTTCTAGAAAGACTTCTTTAAAAGTTTGATTTAATGAAGCATGAAATTGAGACAAAGCATTTTGCCATTGAGCACTATAAATACTTCATGAATCCAGACTAAAATAGAGATGAAATCAAAGAACTTATATCAAAATATATAGAATACTATGAGTGTATCCTATCAGACTCCTATGGACCAAAAAAAAAGATAAGGTAGAAAACACAAAAACAGAGTTGACCTGTAGGTTTTCTTTTGGACAATCTCAATTTTTTTCCCCAACAGTACTTTCAGAAGGGCAATGGTAAATTGTTTAGCTTCCCAACTCTTGGTTTTATCAACCTGCTTAGATTGTTATGTGGATAGTGAATTGTATTAATGGCAGAGCACTTTACAAATAGAAAATGCTAAGAGAGGATAATTAAAATGAAGTCTTTATTTGGGGCTGCTGATGGACAGATGTGCATGAGAGCCAGCTGGTTTCAGCACCAGATTCATCTGGCACTTGGCTCCAGTCACTCAGAGTTATTAGCTTGCCTTAATATCCATTAGGAAATATAATGGATTGGCTCTCATGTTAACCTTGTCTTTAACTTGTCTTTAACTCTCCTTCCTGCTTTCTGATAAATCAATCAACCCAGAGACCTAATTTTTAATTTAATCCTTCATTGTAAATAGTAATTTTAGTTCTTCAACCTGCTCTGGCCTTCAGTAGGTTGGAACTAAAGAAGAAAGTCCAGCTTTAAAGTTACACCAATTTAATCTTTGTGAGCCTTAGTTTCTTCATCATGAAAATGGTGTCATTATTCTCTACTGCTCAGAGAACTTCTGGAGATGAAATTAATTTTACTGCAGTGCTTGACAAATGGAAAGAATCGGTGAGTGCTTTTCAGAATAGACGGTATAACTTTAGAAATTCAAAACTTCCCTTGTACAAGTCTCTAGGGCAGTAGTCCCCATCCACAAAATAGGATAATCCTTTCTTTAAAAAATAAACCTTTCTAGACACTCAAATAGACACCAAAAATACCTAGACCTTTGGTATCTTCTACTGAAAAACAAACATAATTAGAGGAAACTATCAATTCGGTGCCATGGAAAATGAATTGTATTCAGTTGATCAGCACATCTCTACGCATTTTAAAGACAGAAACACACATGTGTATGGTGTTAGTTTGTTTTGGCTTGGTTTTTTATTTTTATAGAAAGTCTTTATCCAGCTCAGGTTAGCCTCAAACTCTCTGTGTACCCCAGCCCAGCCTCCTGCCTCAGCCTCTCAAGTGCTAGGATTACAGGAATGTGCTCATCACATGTATGTTAAAATATTATCCAGTCTAGAAACAATGCTTTGACACATACTTGGGTAGATTTAGGATCATTTTGCAATAAATCTAACTCTATATATCCTGGGCTACAGATTGAGGACAACTAGATGGGAACATTCATAGAGTGAATTATTTTCATCCTTTGCATTATGTACAAAGATAATCAGGATATTACTACATCTGGATTTAGATGTATTATTTTTATTTTTGTTCCTATATTTTTAAGGAGGATACTTAAAAATAATGGAGAAAGCTGAGCATCGTAGGTTTTGAATCATGCCCTCCTGTCTCTTGCTCTTCCCCACTCCTCCTGCCAGCTGCGGCCGCTCCCCATCCCCTGACAAGGGCAGCCTGAAAACAAAGCCAGGCTGCCCTTGCAAAGTGCCTGGACCACCCCTTCTGCAGATTTCCCACTAGCTGCTTGGCATGTTGATTTATTGACAAACAAGAGAAGCAGAAAAGGACATTCAACATCAGAACCTCTTAGAATTAAGGCTATACTCCTTCCTTCCTTAACTCTTGTATTCGTTCCTTGAACAAGTATGCTTTTTTCACCAATGCTGCCCTTACATGTGGAATGTTATTACCAGATACATAATAGGTACTTCATTCTTCCAACAAAATTTTATTTATTAAGTATCTACTATGTTCCAGTAACTGTCCGAGGAGCTGAGGATATAAGATATCCTGTCTTTATAGTATTTATACTGTGATGGGGAAGAACAAACTTTAAACCGATATCCAAATCAATTGATGCTACACTAGGAAGGAGGGAAACTGATGGAGAGTGACAGGAAAGAGAAGCTATGTTAATAAATGATTCAGAAAAGGCTCAAAGAGGAGGTTCAGACTTCACACGACAATTTGTGTAAGTCACACGGGAATCTAAGGTACTCTATGGCTTGCTACTATTAACCTGACTAAAAATGTCACTTTTTAAAAAATTACAGAGCTTGGAAAGCTTCTGCATGGTATGTGGTTTTCACTCAGCAACTCTCAGTTATGACCAGGACATTAACCACTGACTGAAATACATTTTAGTTTTATATTGCTTTGCTCTGTGACTTTGTTGACATTATCTTTTTTATTATATTTTATGAGTACATGTTTGCAGTTTTGGACGTTAGTACATGTACATAACACATCTTAATTACTTTTTATCTTTCTCCTCTCCCCTATCCACCTTTTGACTTACCAGCGTGTGCAAATACCACCTGGCCCTTATTGATTTGAGCCTGGGTGAAGTTCTGGATACTTTTGCCAGGAGAGGACTTCAGAGCTAGATGCCCATTGCTAGGTGGAGTGATCCAGTAGACTAGATCCTGCTGGGAGGAGTCTCCATCTTCTGCACACAGGTCACCTCTGGTTATCTCAGTGACAGAATTCACCCATACCTGAAAAAGAAGGGGCTCACAGATCTTCTGAGGACCAATCGTAATCACATAATGTTAGTAAACGGGATGGCTAGGACACCCTGGCACCTTGCACAAATATTTTAACTGAACGAATTTACCAGAGGTTTGAAACAGATACATAGTTCAAAACAGATGCATAATTACAAGCTAAATGAGATGCAGCACATTTAATTTATGAAGCTTATGAGGCTTCAAAAAATTATAATTATTTATTCAAAATTAATTATTTAAAGTACATTTGCACTGGCCGGGGATTCAGCTCAGTGGTTCTGCCGCCGGCCTCTCAGGCACAAGGTCCTGAGTTTGATCCCTAGTACCAAAATAAATAAATAAATAGAGTAAAGCACATATGCACATATCTAAAGTATAATAACAATAAAAACTGACAGTTACTAAGCACCTTTCAATGCTAAGTACTTTAAATGGAATCTTAGATAATATGGAACCCACTCATTGGGTTGGTTTAAGGGTTTCTGCTCATTGTTTTAAGAAATAATTGATTCAGATTTTGAGTAGTTGAGGGGGAAATGCACCCACTGTGCATGTTTAAATTCCCTTTATTCTACCTGTCATAGGAAATCAAATACCTGGTTCCTTTATCCTTGTTATGTTTGCTGTATTGACGATAGCTTACATCTAAAATGGTATCTGAGTAATACACTCTTTTTCCACTTATATTTAAAATCTATTTATGCTGCCTAAATATCTTAATTCAATAATTCATCAAACATTTATTAAGTAGTTATTATTTTCCAGGTAATGTTCTGGATGCTTAAAATACATCATTGTACAAAGGATCCTGTCATCATAGTCGACATTCTGGAAAAAAGGGGACGAAGAGACACAGAAAGGAAACAATGGGCATAACAAGGAAATGAATTACATATTCTGTTACAAAGTCAAAGCACTAAAAAAATGAGGACTGTTAAACAGGAGGCTCACTGGAGGAAAATCTGGAAGAGAAAGGGGAGGAGGAGCCATGTGAATATGTGAACATCAGGTCACTTCTCACCCAGCACCCTGTGTTGATTCCCCCTGGCACTCAGAAACAAGCCAGAGCTCCAGCAGTGCACTCCAGACCCTGAATGATTTGACTTTTCACTATGCTTTTGTTTCGTCATCTTTTACTCTTCATCTTGCTTATTTTGCTCTCACCACACCACATTAAGCTCTGATGCTGGTGACCCACAGTTGAGGCCCCTTGACCCCACTATAGGGCTGTTTCCCTTCTCTGTCTGATTTTTTCCCTGGATATTCATATTTTTATTGTCTCTTTGGTTTCTGTCTCAAGAACACACTGTGAGTGGGGACATCTGTTAGTGGGTGATCACAGTAATCCCAGAGAGAAATGAAAGAAGAAAGTAGTCAGAAACTGCAGGGTTGGTAAGAAGGGGTCCAGTTCCAGGTGACTGTTGAAGGTAAAGCCAACAATGTCTGATGGAATTAGGTGTGGGAGGTGTGCAAGAAGGAAAGGTGAAAGAAATTGAAATGAGGAAGACTACAGGTTGACTGGATTTGAGGAGTAGGACCAGAATTTCAGTTCTGAATGTGTTGAATTTAAAATGCTCCTTTGGACAATGAATCACGTCTGATGTAATCAGGCTGTTCTGAGTTTCTATAATCATGTAGTCACATGATACTTCACTAACACTAAAAATAAGTGGTTTTATCACTAACTCAATTTTCACATTTCTATTTGCATTTTTTTCTTACCCACAGAAACACTATGTTCACATTCCTGAGTTTATATATCATTCTCTGCTAATTAGAATCTTATCCTCTTCTATGCTTTTTACCAACACACTTAAAACTTCAACTCCAAGACATTTAGCAGATAAGATGCCTGGTTAAAGGGAACTATTTTTCTCAGGAAAACAGGCAGTTCATGAAATAACTTAAACCACACCCATTCACCATCTATTAACTAACACAATTTTGACAGAGTGAGATCAGCAGGTGTACAGGATTCCTACGTTCTTATATCAGATATGATGGAACTAGAAGACAAAAATCTGCTATGATTCCTTTTTTTTTTGGTACCGGAGATTGCACTCCAGACCTGGAGCTTGCAAGGCAGGCTGCAGAACCACTGAGCTAAATCCCCGGCTTTGCTTTGATTCCTTTTAATGCTCCAACTACTGACAGCACACGTTCACAAGTCTACTTTGTGAATCACCTCCTAAACATAACTAAATACCCACACACTCCACATAGGTACACACACACACACGTGCACTTACACATCCAAATGAAAGTATAACTCTTCAAAGTTTCAAAGTAACTATGTTAAAGAAGCGCACATGCCAATAACAATAACACTGCTCAAATTTTTTCTTTTGAAATTATCTTCAGATTGCTCAAGAACATTTGATGCTACTTTTTATCAGTGACTCTTTGGGTTCAAGTCACTGCTTTGCCACTTATTAGCCATGTAATTAATGTTGGGCACATTTCTTAACTTCTCTGGGCCTTATTTATTATTGATAAATTAGGAATGATAGAGTTATTACTTTCACTGAGTGCTGTATTTTGTTTTGTTTTGCTAGCGTGCTGGAGATTGACTTCAAGGCCTCTCATATGCTAAACAAGTGTTCTGAGCTACACTACCAGCTCAGATGTGGCTTTTTAATATTACTTAAGTTGTTCTGATTGTGATGATACAATTACTAAGACTGTTCTGTAACACATGTTGCAGAATTTTTGTTTAATTCCAAGCAACCATAGTGGGATGAGTAGTTTGCCTATTATATGACTGTGCTAGATGGATGCTCCTAATCTTTAATTTGGAATAGGCTCACTGCAGATTTTCAGCACTAAGCTCTAAAGATATCAACTCTTTAACAGCTACCAGAAATGCTAATCAATTTAATATTCAAAGTATAAGGTTTTAGCCTTCATTTAACCAATTGAAAGGCTACAATTTCTACAAAATATACAAGTTGGCGTGCTTAACAAAATACTAAGCCCACTCTTTTGGTTTGTCACTTTTACATTAGAAAATCCATCTTTATGTTTTATTCTTCTTTCTCCAGGAGCTCAAACTGAGTTGGAAATGTACTGCCATTTTTCTTTCTATAGGAGGCACTTATTTTTTCAACACTGATCATAGGAGAGCTGGACAAAGCACATGTTCCACTGAGTTGCTATCCTGACACTCAAATCAGGAGGTGGTACTCTCAGGGGTTTGTTTCAGCTCAAATCAAATTTAGTGCAATAAACAATCTCATTGCTTTAGAGGAAGTCTGAATTGGTGCCCTGTGCTTGGTAACAAAAACTTAGGAGATTCAATTCCCCAGTAAAAAGAAAAGAAAAGAAACTTAGGGGTATGGTGGGAAGTAATAACCACTTTGAACTTGAATTCAGATTTAAAAGTAATTCAAAGCCCAGGAAATAATATTTCAAAGAATAAATATCTGAAAAAAATACCATTTGAATCCAGAATATATATATATATTGTAATTCACCATTAGCCTTATGAGGAAATAGGTGGGACTTAGAAAGGATTGGGATTTAGCTTAGTGGTTCTGCCACCTGCCTCATAAGTGCAAGGTCCCGAGTTCAATCCCCGATACCAAAAAAACAATCTAACTGTGACTCAATTTAATTCAAATTATAATTGTAATGTTTAAAGACCAAGATTTTGTTTGAGTTTCATAGAAAAGATGTAAAATATTCAAGAATTTGAGGTCTCACTGTTTGACTCCTCTAGGACTTTAGCTGTTATTTCAGATTCTGCATGCTCAGTTTTTCCACTGCGCCTCCTTCTCAAATCCTCTTTAGTGACGAGCACTTATCAGCAACAAGCAGAGCTCCAGGCCGTATAGCTCAGTGGTAGAGAGCTTTCCTAGTAAGTATGGAGCCCTGAGTTCAATAACTAGCACTGCAAAAACAAACAAAAAAAATCAAGAAAATGATCCTATGTTCAGTGTAAACACAAGATAAAATATACAGTAGTATAGAAAGAGATATAGTACTTGAAAAATGGGAAAATGAAGCCCCCTTGTGGACACAAATATATTTTATCAGGTATGTATAAAAATCACTGACCATGTTTGAATACAAAAGCACTCCATAGAATGTATTTCAGATTGAAATCCAAAGGATTCACCCAAAATGGCCCAACTCCAACTCCTAATTCCAGGACACAATTATCTCCCATAGCACTAGGAGACAGCCTTAGAGAAAGCTGAAAGTTCTGTAGTTTAAGGAAATGTTTTCCTGCTTTGATAGAATGAATTGCACATGAAATACTGGGAAGTGATGCTAATGTTCGGATTTCTGGCTATGAACTCCCATGCAGAGGATACCAAGGGCTCTGTTTCCTCTGCTTCTCCCAAGTAGACTGCAAGTGGATTTTCCTGCCACCTCCTGCAGGCCTTGATATTATGTAAGGAGACTAAATGATCATGCAAGAAAGTCTGATGGACTTGAGAAAATGCTGGTTTAAGGCCAGAGACAGCATAGCATCCAGAGGCCTTACTGGAGTCCCATTTGCAAACCTGCCTTTGCTCCAGATTCTGCCACTGTCTATCTTTGCAGGCAAGTCACTTTTTCTCTTTAGCTCTAATTGTCTTTGTAAATAGGAATAAGAAGCAACTAGCAACCATAGCTTTGGAGAAACTATTATTGAATCTGGCCAGGGATTTAGCTCAGTGATTCTGCCACCAGCCTTGCAGGAGCAAGGACTGGAGTTCAATCCCCAGTACCAAAAAAAAAAAAAAAAAAAAAAAAAAAAAAAAAAAAAAAAAAAAAAAAAAAGAAACCTCTCCGCCCTTTTACTTTAAAAAAAAAAAAAAAAAAAAAAAGAAAAAAGAAAAGAAAAGAAAAGAAAATGCACTCTCTCAGCTCTGTTACTTTAATAAAATAAATACACTTTATATGTTAGCTCACAGAAAAATGTTAATAAACCTGACAGTTTTTTAATTGTATTAAAGGCTATTGATTTATGAAAACTTCCTGCAATAGGCATAGGCTTTCCA